ATACAGACCAGCACCAGCCCTTTTTCATCCCCTGTACTCCTAGTGAAGAAGAAGGATGGTAGTTGGCGTTTTTGCGTAGATTACCGGGCCCTGAATCAGATTACAGTGAAGGACAAGTTTCCGATACCCCTCATTGATGAACTGTTGGACGAGTTAGAAGAAGCACAGGTGTTCTCCAAACTAGACCTGCGATCCGGGTATCATCAGATCCAGGTTCACCAGGCTGACATCCACAAGACGGCCTTTAGAACCCACGATGGCCATTATGAGTTTCTGGTTATGCCATTTGGACTCACCAACGCCCCCTCCACCTTTCAGGCCCTCATGAATGACATCTTCAGGCCATTCCTAAGGCAATTTATTCTGGTGTTTTTCGATGACATTCTGGTTTACAGCAGGGATTGGGACACCCATATGGAACATCTGAAACTTACCCTCACAACTCTAAGGGAGCACCAGTTACATGCCAAAATGACAAAGTGTTCCTTTGGACAAAGACAAATTCAGTACTTAGGCCATGTGGTTGCAGCAGGGCGGGTCATGGCAGACCCAGAAAAGATAGACGCCATCCAAAAGTGGCCCAAGCCCACTACTGTAAAGGCTCTCGGGGGTTCTCTTGAGCTTACCGGTTATTATAGGCGCTTCATTAAGGGGTATGGGCTTATGGCCGCCCCTCTTAACGCATCTGTTAAAGAAGGATTCTTTCGATTGGGTTGATGATGCCCAACGGGCTTTTGAAGACTTGAAGATAGCAGTTTCTAGTCCTCACTCTTCCGAACTTCTCTCAGCCCTTTTAAATAGAGTGTGATGCATCGGGTGTAGGGGTAGGGGTCATCCTGATGCAAAAAGGGCAAACCATTGCTTATTTCAGCAAGGCTCTCTCAGCAGCTCACCAAAATCAGTCCACTTATGTCAAGGAAATGATGGTTGTGGTAATGGCAGTACAAAAATAGCGTACATACCTATTGGGATGCCAATTTATTATAAGGACAGGCCAACGAAGTTTGAAGTACATAGCATAACAAAGGGTGCACACCCCGGAGGAGCAAAAATGGCTTAGTAAACTGATGGGATTTGACTACCACATAGAGTATAAGCCTGGGCCCGCAAACAGAGTAGATGATGCCTTATCACGGGTAGAAGAGCTAGCCCAACTGACCTGCTCTCAGCCCAGTTTTCCCTTGTTTGAAGCTATACGGCAAGAAGCCAGGTCTGATCCGCAGCTACAGGACATTAGGGATAAGTGGAGACGTGACCCTTCCCAGGTTGCGGGTTACCAAATTGTAGGGCCTAATCTTTTCTTTAGGGGCAGGTTTGTGGTTGCCCCAAATTCCGCCCACAAAACTGAACTGCTAAGGTTGTTTCATGATTCCGCGTTGGGGGGACATTCAGGGGTGCTACGGACCCTAAAGAGGCTCAGCAGTCACTACCATTGGGTAGGAATGCGCAAGGATGTGTTGCACTATGTATCCGAATGCCAAACCTGCCAACAGCAGAAATACTCCTCATAGTCTCCCGCGGGCCTTCTACAACCCCTCAAGATTCCAGAGCAAGTGTGGGAAGACCTCTCCATGGACTTCATCACGGGACTTCCCCGTTCTGCAAGGAAGGAGGTTATCATGGTAGTAGTTGACCGTCTCACCAAGTACAACCATTTCTCTGCATTGCCTCACCCTTACACCGCAGCAATGGTGGCTGACATCTTCATACGGGACGTCGCAAAACTGCATGGAACCCCAAGATCCATTGTCTCGAACCATGACCCTGCCTTCCTGAGTTCATTCTAGAAGGAATACTTCCGATTGCAAGGAACCCAACTGCACCCATCCACAAGTTATCACCCGCAGACTGATGGACAGACTGAAGTTCTTAATCGATGCTTAGAASCCTACCTTAGATGCTTCATAGGGGAGAAGCCTAGACAGTGGGCCCACTGGCTCCAGTGGGCAGAATACTAGTACAACTCGACTTATCAGCCGGCTGCAGGAATGACACCCTTCAAGGCTCTATATGGCAGAGAACCCCCTCCCATATTACCTTATGAATATGGGTCGTCCAAGGTGGCGGAAGTAGAGACCCGCCTACTGGAAAGAGACGAGATCCTTAGACTGCTTAAGACCAACTTGACAAAATCCCAACAACGAATGAAGGTCCGCTATGACTCTCACCACTGCCCATTAGAGTTTCAGGTGGGTGATTTTGTCTACCTTAAGCTCCAACCTTACCGCCAGGTCTCAGTGGTAAGACGGGCTTGGCACAAGCTAGCTCCCAAGTATTATGGGCCCTATAAGGTGCTGGAGAGAGTGGGCCTTGCTGCTTACAGATTGGACCTCCCTGCTACCTCAAAGCTTCATCCGGTGTTTCACATCTCACTTCTCAAGAAAGCTGTGGGAAATCATACTCCTGTCTCATCCAACTTACCCGAATTCATTGAGGAAGGGGACATTGACACGGAGCCTATCAGAATTGTGGATTTCCGTTGGGTTCGATGAGGTGGGCAGGTTGTGCCAGAAGCCAAGGTAGAATGGGTCGGGCTGCCTTCAGAGGACGCCACTTGGGAACCTTATCTAAGGCTGAACGAGAGGTTTCCAAACCTAGACCTTGAGGGCAAGGTCAACGCTAAGGAAGGAGGAATTGTTGGGACCCAAACACTCCCCCCGAACCCAACTATGGGATTGGAGCAGACCACCACCCATCAGCAGTTCACAAGGAGACAGAAAGGACACGCAACAGAGCCCCATAGTTAGTTACACTCAGAGTTGGTTACTCTGCAGCCAGAGGATATTCCCTCCATGATATCTTCCAGAGTTAGCTACCCTGCAATCAGAGGATATTCCCTCTATGATTACACCTGTAGGCCAGCTATATAAGGCCATAATCATATAATAAAAGGTGTGAATAAATATCTCTTCATTTTCTCTCTCTAAGTCCATCCTCTTCCTACCTTCCCTTCTCTTCTTCCCCTTCATCTTCTGTTTTAGGAGGTTAAGCCACCCTCGAAGGGGCTTCCGAGGTGAGCGGTAACTCATCAGCTTATGGGTCTAAAATCCTTAATTGTCTTGGCTACCCTCTTTCAAGGGATCAAAGCAATGAAAGTTGAGTTTGCTCCTCGAGAGATTTCCCCTTCATGATAGAACTCATTAAACACTTCCACTAGGTCACATTTTATAACTTCCCAACAATCTTGATAAGATGCCATCGAGAAACCATTCAGTCCTAGGGATTTAGACCAGTGTTTTAAAAGGCGTGGGAGGCGTACACCTAGAGGTGCGCCTCCAGGCGAGGCGCTCCCAAAACACCCAAAGGCATATGCTAGAGGCGCTAACACCTCTAAGCTTGCGCTTTTTTCATGAGGTGTGCTAGAAGCATACACCTCATGCACATCTATTATAAAAAGACAGAAAAAAAAAAGGAAAAAAGGAAAAAGAAAAAGTGAGATATGCCTCATGCATACGCCTCCGCTTCGACAAGACCCCCCCTTTCAACTAATGTTATGCATCTTTATTCTTCTTAGTATAAAAGATTTTTATTAAAAATAAAGAAAAAGTGAGATCCCCCTTCCCCCTCCTAACCCCCCTCCTCTTAAGGAGGCTTATGCCTCCTGCATTCTGAACTATGCCTCACGCCTCTAGGTAGTGGAACGCCTCGCAACATGCCTCCACGTTTTAAAACATTGATTTAGACCTATATATATTAATTAGAACTAGTGCCACCAACACTTTTTTAGATCTCTCTCTCTCTCTCTCTCAAAACTGGAACCAACTCCTGAAATTTCAGGAATGCTTAGATGATCAGCTTTGCTTCTCAAATATCCTTTGATGCTCAAGTTGATAACTTGATGTAACCTTGACAAGGCCGGGTAAACATCTACTAAGTCACTCTACTAGTTGAAGCACCCTTGAAAGTAAAAAATGACACTCACCTCACTGTTATCTCATTTTTTTATTACTCTTGCATTTTTGGCTTCATGAATCACAAAAACCAGGAAAGAAGCTTTGGGCCCAGGTCTCCTCATCAACTTAAAAGAACTTACTACGAAAAATAACATAACAAGGAGATATTCTGTAGGCACATTCAAAGTTTATATAATGAAGGCTAACTAACTTAACTTTCTAAGCCACTCAAAAATGGTTGAAAACCTTCAAGCCACGTTGGCTTCCAGTAAGAATTAGCTTTCTTATTCAACTAAAATTTTCTCCTTTCCAAATTCTAAAATTTCCAATCCAAAAAATGGCATCTGTATCTATCTGCAAGGTCTAGAAACACAAAAATTTTCTTCAAAATCAACGTGCAAAACCAAATTAAATTAAATCAGTAGGGATTTCAAGTTCCTCTCATTCAGCTGCATTTGCATTTACATACTAAATTAAATCAGTAGGTCTAGAAACATAGATTCTAAAAATGCGAAACACTACATTTGCATAAAAGGCGTCGAAAATTCTCTTCAAGTTACTCTCATTCGACTACGTTTACATACTAAATTCTAAAATGTGAAACACTTGGACCAATAAACACACATTAAAACTCAGAGGAATGAAACGTAAATGGAAAAAAGAAGGGGAAAAGAAATGAAACAAAAAAAAAAGAAAGACATGTAGACCAGCCATATTGTATAACTAACTCTAATAAGAGTTACAGATTGAAGTTAAAGCACATTCTATCTGCAGGGAATCCAATAAGAGTAAGTTGCCACATTCAACTACATGCCGGCCTGAAGTATAACAAAATATAGCTCCTAATAGTAAACTACAAGGGAAAGAAGAGAAAGAAACAAAATAGTCAAATTAGAAAATGAACGGGGAAAAGAAGTTGACAAATTTATTTAAGACTTGCAATGAATGCGGGCTTTCATTAAATTCTCCATGTTTAAAAGTTAATGCATTCAAACCAGCAGAAATAATTCATATCTATATAACTGTGAAAACCAATGGTTCAATACCCCAGAAATAATTCGAGGAAAAATTGAAAAAAAAAAAAGAAACCACGAAAAATCCACATACCCGAGTAGAAAAATTCGAAGAAAAACAGCAGAGTCGAGGCCGGCGTGGTCAATAAGCTCAGACTCGCTCATTCTCAGAGCCTCAGGCATCCAGTTGAGAAAAGTGAGGTAAGTCTTGAGGTTGAGGTTGACGACCCTCCCAACGAAATTCCCAGTATGCCTCGGGCTTCTCCTTCCGCCAGTTATATACCATTTTGGAAAATAAACTCTGCCATTCACAGGCTGAAGCCTCAGAAGAGCAAAGGCCAGCAAAAATGCAAATGCACTGAGAATGTTAATGAATGCAGATACTCCAATATCTCCAAGAGACGCCATTAGAACTCAGAGACAGAGAAACAGACAGAGAAGCAGCACAGAAGAAGAAAAGGGTTGAGAGGAAAAGAATGGTTAAATGGAAGATTGAACAGAAGATAAAATGAGAAAACAAGAATGGAATAACCAGAGAAGAAGAGAAGAATATTGTTGCAAAAGACTTTAAAGTTAATGGGCTGACATGGCCTCTGGCTTTTATAGCTTTTCTTTACTGATTTTGCTTGCTTAAAACAAATAGTAGAATGTGGAAGGAAGGTAGCTCTGGTTGCCCTTTTTGTTTCAACATTCAACGTTTGTGTGCAGGAGTTGCCATTCCTCTATCTCGGCTTCAGCTTTTCCGCGTGTCTGAAAGCTGTCTGCAGTCAGGACAAGAGTCAAGACAAAGCAAATCCTGCTAAAGATGGGACGGTTTCGGTTTACGGATTTACGGTAAGACTCTAGAGTGAGAGGGATCTGATAGGGTATGTGTTGGATCTATAACCAGTTCCAAGGACTTTAGTTAGAAATGACCTTTAGATTGGAATATTCTGATCAGGGAATTTGAATTCCGAGGTCAAAGCAATTCACCGTTTGAATCCCAAAGCTGGGCCATGTATTACCCAAAGAATAGCATATATGTTGTCGCCATTAATGGATTTGGGAATTGGGAACCAAACAAAACAATGTTCTAGAGTTCAGCGGAAAGTCTCATATGCGGGGCGAATATCCAATTTTGGCCCCAAACATGATTCAAGAATTTCACCCCTCTTTGGCTCCTTCCCTTCTGACTTCTGCCAAATGGATTGAAAGGGCTGAAATGAGATGACTAGTCACTGCCGGTTTGCCACGTCATAAACTGTGTCATTGGAAGCCCCAATAACCATAATTGCGTATAAATAAGGAAATAAAGGCCAAGTGGTGGGCCCCCCACAAGTAGAAAGGAAAAGGTACAAAAGAAAAAGATCATGGATTGCAGTGTATGCGGTGCCGATTGCCAAAAAAAGAAAAAAAAAATGTATATTTTGGGTCCCACCCAGTTATATGTTTCATTTGAAAGAGAGAGAGAGAGACCCATATTACATCACAAACACGAAAATGTGGCGTTTTGAGCCAAGGGGCCTGTCCAATGTAATCCGATGAACAGAACCCAGCAACTGTTTGTCAAATTGTATTTGATTTACGCTGATGGACGACGGATGAGGGCTGTACTTCCATGGGACCGATCTTGAGCCCTCAAAATTGAAGCAACAACCCTAGGGCATGGGCATGCGGTGATGCGCACCTTCGGCCTGATGATCAACCTTTTTTGACTTGGAATGGTATGCAAGCTGCAAAGTGCAAAGGCATCCCAATAGTGTGAAGGTATAGGCATGAGGTGTGGTGTGATTGCTTCAAAATTTAAAAAATTATATACAAAGGTAGTTCAGTTCAGGCGTTTTAACATAATTTATTAGGGGATAATGGTCCTAAAAATTGCTTTATACCGTGTTCTATTAAAGTTGGATGTGCTTTAGAACTCCAATCTCCCAAAAAAAGTAATTAAATAAAGACAGAGATACCATGCATAAGAAATAAGAAATAGGAGGGTTTGTTTCCTCTCTGGTCTAGCAAATTTCTTTTCAATGTGGACAAGTGCTTCTATCTATCTGGAACTTATGTTGTACAATGCCCAAAGCACTATAGCCCAAATGCAAATGGCTTTTGATGTACCATTTCAATTCTGTTTTGCCATTGGTGTTAGGAGGGCTTTAACATTGATCAAGTCGCATTGACTAGCTATTCTATGGGAGTTTTGATAGGAGTTTATTAAAATGTCGTTGTATCACCGTTAAATCAGTATTTTTTTTTTATTATATTCATCTGTACGTATTGATATTTACAAAAAATGGGTTTTTATTTATATGTATACCAACCGTAGAGGGAAGCTTCATTTTAACGCTTCAATGTTCCATTAATGTAACGCCTAATTGTCCATTAACGATTTATCAAATACTTTTCTCGGTTTTGAAAACAAATCAAGTATAAACATTTATTTAATAAATGGAAGCTATACCAAACACATACTAAATTGCTTTGAATAAGTTTAATAAAAAAGTCCATTTACCAATACATAAACACATGTTTTTGGCTTTGTGTTTTCCATCAAATAAGGGGAATGTTTCTTATACAAGTATAGAAGATATTTGCAATGTGTTGCTGGATGCCGAGTTGTCACCATGCTTCACACATTTTGTCCCACCTAGACATAAGCCATGTTTGGTGAAATGTGAAAAGCCAAAATATGTATTTCTACTAAAGCTTCTAGTAGTGGCTTCTTCAAAGCAAGTTAATCAATGCTACTACCCTCCCAAACGATGAAACAGACCCATAATTGAACTTACTCCAAAAAAACAATCAAGCAAACTCTCAAGCTAGGGGGTAAATTGGCTGGCATTAGATTAGGTCAAAACGGACCGATGCATATCCGAAATGGTCTAATATGAGACCAATACAAAGCCATTTGTCTTATTTGGACAAATGAGTACACTGAATGCATGTATTTACATCTACTAGTAAGTATGCACATGTTTTGCATGTGGTAATTCTATATGATGATAATGATAGTAATAATGTATCCAATTTTTTTCTATAAATTTTATGCATTTTTTATTTTTTATTTCTTATTATTAATTGGATGTGGATTGAAAATCTAAATTTGATTATATAAACACCTCAACCAAATATGTGATAATCGGATCAAGTTGTGAAGTTTCAAGTATCATTGATAGCCTAATTGCTTGGTTAGATTCTTTTCTTTGTAATATTCAATCTTTTCTGTGTCTTTTTTTTGTTCATTAATGTAAGATTTAAATAGAGGGAATTGAATGGGGTGAAAAGTAGTAGTTTAATTTACAATTTAAACCTCATAATTAAATTGGAACTAAATTCAATATGATAAATATATGATAGTATACCTATGCATAAATGTTTTTTTGCAAAATTTATGTATTTTTTTCATTTTTGTATTTTTATATTTTATTACTTTTTATTATTTATTTATGACATTAAAGGTTGACGTGTTTGACCCAAAATTTGAACAATTGATCTTTTTCAAACAATAGAATAATTTCATTTTTGGTTAGTTCTAATTTATGCATTTCATTTTCATTACCAATAAAAATAATTCTAGTTTATTATACTTATTTTTAATTTGATTAATAAAAATATCATCAATGTGTCTATTTTTTCTACATTTTTTGTAAGTTTCTATATTTATTTCTATTTTAAAAAATTTTATAACCTAACTATGATTTCGTAGGTTGATCAGTTTGATTCAGATGGTTGAATTGCTTATCCACCACTTGGATTAAAAACGGTTTTTTTTAATCAGTTTTAAAATATATGGGTTTATATTGTTAAAAATATTGACACATATCTAATTTAATAAAAAAAGTGTTAATAATTTAAGTACAAGACTTAATGAGAGTAGATTAAATGAGATGGAAAGTAATAATTGAAGTTAGAATTTCAACCTTACCATTAGAGATGGACTAAATACACAATTATGGACATTTTAGTAGCCATTAAAATTAGCATTAAAACTGTAATAAAATGACTTTTATACCCTTTCTCAAACAAAAAAGTAAAGGGTAACTTTAGTCAAAAAAATGTTTCACATTACATTCACACTTGTATATATAGTATAGATATGTCAACAAATTTAAGGAAAAAATTATCTGGTATATATAACATCAATATAGTGAAGAGTATTACTTTGTTCAATGCTGAAGTAAGGTCACCATAATCAACTAATTTAAAATCTAGGAAAAAAAAGAGAAGACTTAAGCATAAAAAAGTAAAGAAATCAAGCCAACCCGAAGTGATTGGGTTGGCATTACATTGGGGTTCAACAACTTTCGGTTAAGTGACCTCAACACAATCTAATGCGGCCCAATTTACACCCTAGCTTGAGAATTTGGTTGATGTTCAGGTTATTTTTTGGAGCAAGTTTAATTATGGGTCCGTTTCACCATTTGGGAGGGTTGTAGCGTTGGTTAAGTTGCTTTGGAGAAGCCACTACAAGAAGCTTTAGCGAAATACATATTTTGGCTTTCAGACATTTATTTTAGGCTCTTCAGATTTTTCACCAAACATGACTTGTGTCTAGGTGGGACAACTCGGCATCCAGCCACACATTGTGAATATCTCCTATACTTGCATAAGAAACATTCCCCTTTATTTGGTGGAAAACACAAAGCCAAAACATGTGTCTATGAGCTGGGAAATGGACCTTTTGATTAAACTTATACGAAAAAACTTAGTTAATGCAACTCAATCAATGCTGAAGCCCTCCTAAACGGGCCCTTAAACACCAATGGCAAAACAGAATTGAAATGGTATCTAACACCATTTGCATTTGGGTTATTATGTTGCTTTGGTATACTCTCCTAATTTAATATAGATAGTCTCAAGGAAATATTTCTTGTATATATATACTTAAATAGGAATGGTGAAACACACAAAATTTTTCCCAAGGCTTAAGCCTTACAACTTTGATGCGAAGTTTAAGCATTTGTCAAAATAAGGTATTAGTCTCAAGCCTCAACTTGTTAGGTGTAGCTTGAGTCATAAAAAGGTACAAGCCTCAAGTATCAATGATTATTTAGCCATTTAATGCAAAAATGTATATTTTATGTATTTTTATAATTCAAAATATATGAAAAAAGCACTTCAATAATTAAGAACCAAATAAATAAAAGGAGTAAAAATGAAAAAACAATAGGGGAAATCAATTTCTAGGGTTTTATAAGAATTCAATGCAAAAAGGGCCAATCAATTTTTTAGTTTCTCTTTAATGTATCAAGTGATTTTTCTTATTATTTTAAATCTAACATCCCAAGTTTGTTATTTTTCTCATTTCTTTTCCTAATGGATTTATCTGTTTTTATTGATTTTTTTTTTTTTTGCATAGATCAAATTAACTTAGTCATTTTCTTTCTTCTAAACTATTAAATGACCATGAATCTAATATCCAATTATATAGATGATTCTCCATATCTTTCCTCTCCTTTGAATTGGTCATTTGAATTACTTTTGCATTTTAAAACATAAAATGTAAAATGTTTATAATTGTTAATTGATTCATTATTATGTTATTTAATGCTTAATCCTTGAAACTTATTGCACATAAGGCTATGTTTGGTTGCAGTGAAATTTTATTTGCACTAGTACAAATGCATGGAAGTGCAAATGAAAAGAATGCAAATTTTGACTTAATTTTATTTTTGGTTTTACTTTCTTCTGTTTTAGGTCTTATTTTACTTCATTTTTTATTACAACGAAACAAATAAAGGTAAATTTTGAAATAAAAATAAATCATAATTTGCACCAAAATCATTTGCACTA